ACTTCTTGCGAAATAAGATGGTGCATCGTTAACACAATCCCAATCCCATTGCATAATCCACGGGAGACCAAATTCCATAGATATTTGAAGCATATCTTGTGGAGATACATTTTTTCCTTGTTTTTTAAGAACTTCTTTTGGCATAATTTCTTTGATGGCTCCAAATTTAGCCCAGAAGGTTTCAATAAAGCAATTTGGTAGACACATTTGATTCATAAATCGTATCCACCATGAATGTTTTCCCAGATGATTTTGAATGTACAGAACATGTTCCCAAGCAGCTTGATAGTCCCAATAATTGTATTATTAGGGACCAATTAGAGTTTTTTCTTTAAACTTTCACAGAACGTTGGGATTTCCATATGAGTTCCATTCATTTAATGGAATAATACGATATATTCTTAGCCGAGAGTAACTATATTCTTTACCTCGGTATCTATGATGAGCAAATGCACTTTCTGTTTCTTTAAGAATTTTCAACTATATTCTTTACCTCGGTATCTATGATGAGCAAATGCACTTTCTGTTTCTTTAAGAATTTTCTCATTTGAGAAATCTCAACATTCTATGAAATCCATCCTTGGGGTTCATGGTTCGATGAGGAAAGCTATGCTACAGGCCTAGATCGTTTTCAGAGTACCATCCGGTTCTACCAAAAACTTGAAACTTTATTCGATGATTATTCTTACTTTATGACTAATGGCCTTCGAATCATCTGCACAGACATTAGCATGGGGGAAACCTCACATCACAGAGCCACTAAAGCAGTCATTGATAAATGGATGTCTAATCCACCTATTGGGCCAGAAACAAGAGAAGCTTATGACATTTTTATGGGAGTAAAACAATATCAAGAGAATGCCTCCGGCCAAGAAGAAGGACCAGTCTCTTCAAATGACATATCAATTGATAGCGACTTGGTCGAAGAAATAACACATAGATGAGATAATATGTGACTTATGGTAAAATTCATATACCATTAAATTATGGTAACTACTGATTAATATCAACGACTTAAACACTAAGTCGATCACCCGTTATCTTTTTCAAAGAGTTTAAAAATTACTAACTTTTATACAAATTTCATTCACAGCTAAATAAAACAGACTGCAGCTAAAATAACAGCCTACATACCTACAACCACTAAGCTTTGGATGCTTAAGGAAGAAGGCAATTTTTGTCAAAAAGGCTATACTACTCTACATCTCTTAGGTTTTGACAAAATTGAAGCCGACGGGACCTACAAGCTTTGTTAAAATATGAAAGGAATCTTTGCATAGTTCCTAAAAAGTCTATAAAAGGAGAAGGAGTTGATGCGTTCAAGGGAGGCGTTTTGGGAGAGTTGAAGTCTTATCCTCTCTAGTAAAATCCCTTCAGTTTCCCTTTTTTAAGTTTTAAGTTTTAGTTTTAGTTTGAGTGAGGTTTGCTTTTCATTTTTCTTTTGAGTGTTTGTAAGATAAGTGTGCTCTACTACTACTAGCTCCAGCGGATCACCAAGCCTTCGGTTTGTAAGTGTTTAACTTTATTTTCTTTCTAGTTTATAAATCTCTTATGTAAATACTATCTAGTTTGCTTCCGTTTTTTTGCTGTTACTGTTCATTACTGTTCACGCCGTTGTTGTTCATTTTTACTATTCATTTCTATATTTTCTTCTTTTATTTTTGATATACATGTAAACGAAGAAGAAGATATAGCTATAAATAATAGATATATCCTCTCCTCCGTCTACACAGTATTCCCCATGAGCTAGTTCTATCGTATCAAGGCTAAACAAGTCCTGGTCACGGTTCAATTTTTCAAGCTCAGCTACGCGAATCCTACTCTCCACTCAGTCCTGTTGAGTGCTATTTCACACGTTACGTTAATCATTATCACATCTTTCATACTGGCTTGCAACCAAATTCTTACTCTTTCTCCAGTTTATAATTGTACAAGTTTTATTAACTGACACATTTATCAAATGACTAAAACCATCTCAAAGATACAATCTTTACAATGGATTAAAAAACTTATACCTCCGGATGATACTGCATCCCGTAAAACCTCCTCTTCCTATTCTCCA